CTGACGCCTTCGGAAACCGTTTTGCGAGCCTCTCTGGGCCGTCTTGGCGACGTCTTGCAGCTTTTTAAGGCCGTCTTGGGGCCCTCTTGGGAACCTTTTGGGCGATCTGGAGGTCCTCTTGAGCCGACTTGGGGCCCTATTGGGGGCCTTTTGGGCTATTTTGGAGCTGTCGTGGAGGCCGCTTGGGCCGTCTGGAGCGGTCGGACACCCGGAGGCCGTTGTGCGCTGCTTTCTGCCCCTCGGGGGGGGCCCTTTTTCCCGCGGCCGGAGGGGTCCGGGGATCGATTCTGGTTTGATTTGTGCGCACCAAGGGCCACTGTTGCCAAAGGTCTCTCTTACGTGGACACGACAACGGGCTCGCCGGCGGCGAACCGCACTTCCTGGAGGCATTCTGACTTGCCGCCCGCCCGGCTCCTTAACCCGACGGGCCGCAGCGTCGACGACAAAAAGTCCATGTTGACGAGCAGGCGTCCCCGCGCGATGTGCGATTTGCAGCGCCGACGACGTTGGCAAAACAAACGTCGACGTTGCGGTGTTCTTTGGCAGGTAGGACGGGGGGGTCCCGCGTAGGGTTGGCCAGGCGTCTGCGCGCGATGTGCGCCGCGTCTCTTTCCTGCTACACTTTTCGCATCGCCGACGACCAGAGAGTCAATGTTGACGAGACACACACGTTAACTTCGTTTTGTTTTTGATGGGTAGGACGCGACCACTCGCTTGGGGTCACCCAAGCGATGTTCTTTCCGTCCAGTCCTTGCTACACTTTTCGCATCTCGACGACATGTTGGCGAGAGAAAATTTGTATTGTGCTGTTAGGGCGGCAGGGTTACAATCGGCCGGCTCGGTGGGGATGTGGGGGTGTTTAATCCGAAGAAGTAAGGATTCGGGGCTAGGGGTGAGGGTTTAAGGTTGAGCTTTGGTTAGGAGTTAAGGTACGGGGTAGGGTTAGATCAGGGCTCAGGTGTGGGTTAGGATTTTGAATGGGGGTTTGGGTTAGAGGTTAGCGTAGAAGTTATGGTTCGGGTCGGGTTTCGGGTAGGGTTGGGGGGTAGGCTTAGGGTTTCGGGTTGATATTCGGGATTCGGGTTACGGTTAGGGGTAGGGTAGAGTTGAGGGGATAGGGTTGGGGCACAAGGTTGGGGTTAATGATTAGGATCCGGGTTAGGGGTTGGAGTAGAGGTTAAGGGTTAGGTGATGGTTATGGTTTCGGGTAGGGCGTAGGGGTTAGGGTAGGGGTTACGGCAGGGCTGGGGGCTAGGGTTTGGGTTTAAGGGGTGCATTAGGGCTTAGGGTAAGGGTTAGGGAAAGGGTCAGGGTCGGGTTAGAAAAGGGTTAGGGGTTAGAGTTAGGTCTTACGGTTAGGGTCAAGGATAAGGGTCAGGCTCAACGGCCAGAGTTAGGGGTAAGGGGTAAGGTCTCGGGTTCGGGGTAGGTGTTGGGGTTAGGGGTAGGGTAAGGGTCGGGGTTAGGATCAGGGTTAGGGTAGGGTCAGGGTTCGGGTAGGAGTTAAGGTTTAGAGTCAGGGCTTAGGGTAGGGGTTGGGGTGGGGATTAGGGTTTCAATTAGGGGTGCGGGAAGGGGTTTGGGTAGATATTAAGGTTAGGCGTGGAGTCGGGGTTAGGGTTAGGAGTGGGGGGTTGGGTTAGGGGTTAGGGGTTAGGGCAGGAGTAGGTTGAAGGTTAGGTGTGGCAGGGATCGGGTTCCCCAGCCAGGGGGCGGCGTGGCGAAAGAGGGGGGGGGGGTCCGAATTTTACGGTCAAAAGGGGAAAGGGTCCGGACCTCCCCTCCCCCCTTGAAGAGGAGGGGGGGCCCGCCGACGACGGATCGGGATAGGGGGGGTGGTCCGCCGAAGATGGAGCGGGAAGGGGGGGGTCCGCCGACGACGGATCGAGGAAAAGGGGGTGGGGGGTCCCGGTGTGGGGGGGGTTGTGGTTGTGTCTGGGGGGGTCCGACGTGTCGTCGCTGGCCGCCCTTTCTTTGCTGTTGTTGGTGCTGCTGTTTTTTCATTCGTATGGCAGGGGAATTTCACCATCATTGGGTACTTGCCGAATGCGATTTCGAATGGGTGGCATAGGTGGGCTGGCTCGCCACAGAGAGAGGCATTGGCCCTGAGCGACGGGGGCACCGTGGAGGATGAAGCCTCTGAGCTTCATTGAGGCTGGTGCCTTGGATTGTCCTTGGGACCACGCGCGAACCCATCCCCGCCTCCCTCGTCTTCCTCCTTTTCCCTTTCTTGTTTCGGAGGGGGGAGGGGTGGGAGGAGACAAGGACCCCGAGTCTCGACCCAAACTCGCCCGCGGCTTCGAAGCTTCGAGGTTGAGGAGGAAGAGGAGGAGGAGGAGGAAGAGGAAGAGGAGGAAGAGGAGGAACGACCACACGACGAGGACCGCGAGGAGGAGGAGCAGAGGGGAGGAGGCGGAGGAAATCGACGATGACGAAGACCGCGACCAGGACGAGGACGACAAAGACGATGACGAAGACGATGACCGCGACCAGGACGACGACGACGACGACGACGACGACGACGACGACGACGACGACGAACGATCACTACGATTGTGCTGCCTCGGAGGACCTGCTGCAGAGTTGGCCGGAGGGGTGCCCCGAGGAGGACAGCGGGTTGCTGCAGGCCACGGTGAGGCATCCCCCCCCCCCCTCCCGGACGGAGGAGGAGGGCAAGAGTAAGCTCAGAATGCATCAACGTCGGGGGTGGACCCCCAACAATGAACACGTCGTCGATTAGTGAATTGTCCGTTTTCGGTTCTCGAGAGGGCGCCGTGGCCGTTATTTTCCAGGCCTGCGCCCGCCAGGTTTGGGCCTCAGGTCGTTTTCCCGAAACCACGTTTGACTAAAGGGAGGTCTGTCCATCCCCGACAACGACGTTGCATTACACCCTCCTTTCCCGAGTCCCCTCCTTAGAAGTCGGGGGGGTCATGTCTGGGTCTCATTTGGGCGCGTTCTGGCCCTGCGTGCGTTTCCAAGACATGCTTTTCTCGACGATTCGGTGCACGACGTGGTTTATTTCACAGCATCCGATGCCCTTTTATTACCTAACAGCGAAGACTGATAGGTTTCTAGTAGGGTCAGAAGAGAGCATCATGACTCCTCAGGGGGGTCGGGGCGGGACCCGGGGCGGCTGCCGTCGAAGCCCAAATCGCCTGTGACATCCTCGCAAAATCGCTCTTGGCGCTGCTAGAACTCCATTCCTGGCGTACATTTTGGATGCCCGGAGCCGGGGCCAGGAGGGAGGTATCGGTAGGTTGCAGGCGCGACATTGTCGCGTGTGGGGTCCCAAGAATTGAGCTCTCTTGGGGTGGGGGTGCCAGAGCTAGGAGGGAGGTATCGGTCGGTTGCAGTTGAGAAATTGTTGGGTGGGGGGTCTCGATCGCTGAGCTCTCCTGGGGCGGGGGTGCCGGGGCCAGGAGGGGGGTGTCGGTAGGTTTCCTGGGGTGCGGTGCCGGGGCCAGGAAGGGGGTGGGGGTGCGGCTTCAGGCCAGAAATGGTGGAGTGCGGGGTCCCAAGAACAGAGTTCCGGAGGCCTGGGGATGCTGGGGCGCGGTGGGGCGGTGGGGGGTATCGGTAGGTTTGGGAAATTGTCGAGTGCGGGGCCCCAAGAACAGAGTTCAAGAAACTTGGGGATGCGGGGGCGCGGTGGGGGGCCAGGTGGGGGGTATCGGTAGGTTTCAGGCCAGAAATGGTGGAGTGCGGGGTCCCAAGAACAGAGTTCCAGAGGCCTGGGGATGCCGGGGCGCGGTGGGGGGCCAGGTGGGGGGTATCGGTAGGTTTTAGGCCAGAAATTGTCGAGTGCGGGGTCCCAAGAACAGAGTTCCAGAGGCCTGGGGATACCGGAGCGCGGTGGGGGGCAAGGTGGGGGGTATCGGTAGGTTTCAGGCCCGAAATTATCGACTGCGGGGTTCCAAGAACAGAGTGAAACCTGGGGGTGCCGGGGCGCGGTGGGGGGCCAGGTGGGGGGCATCGGTAGGTTTGAGGCCAGAAATTTTCGAGTGCGGAGCCCCAAGAACAGCATTCCAGAGGCTTGGGGATGCCAGGGCGCGGTGGGGGGCAAGGTAGGGGATATCGGTAGGTTTCAGGACAGAAATGTTCGAGTGCGGGGTTCCAAGAACAGAGTTCCAGAGGCCTGGGGAGTCCGGGGCGCGGTGGAGGGCCATCGTTTCCGATGCGTTCGATTGCCTTCCCGAGGTTTCTGTATGTTTCTTCGAGTTTCCGAAGGTCGGACGCCAGCCAGCTACTTCACCAGTCCTGGCCAGGTTAATCTTGGGCCCAGGATTTTCTGGATCCGTGTATACGCCTTCTTGGCTTGGTACAAGGTCGGCCTGGTCAGGATCGGTGTGCACATATTATCGTTGTTCTCCCACATATGTGATTTCCTGCTGCTTCTGCCGCTGTGTCCTCTTATCGGCCGCTTGCTGAGAGGGGAAGTGAGAGGGGCCAGGCCTCTTCAGAAGGCGGCGGGGCTTCTCAGAAGTCCCCCTGCCTTCTGATCAGCCGCCTCTCTTCGGAGAAGACTTCGGACGGCAGAGGGAAACAATTGCCGCACACTCCCTCTCCCCCCCAACGCTCAGAGTTGCCACGCGCGCAGGAGATTGCGGCTGAAGTGCAGCTCGTCAGACCCACCGCGCCAACCTTGAGAACACTGTAGGGAGGGGGAGGCGTTGACAGATGCCTGTGGCATGAGCGTTCGCCATTTTCTCGGAGGCCGGGACGACTTTTCCGAAGGGGCTACCTCCTTCGCCTTCCTCGCTGGGCGCGCCGCGAACACCCTGCCCTCCAGGGCTGGACCTAAACGGTGTTTTCGGCGATTTCGTGGGCTGTTTTCGTTTCGACTTCGCCTTGCGGTAAAAGGCGGAGTCGAGACAACAGCGAGGGAAAACGAAGACGGAACAGAGACGAAAAACACCGTCTAGGTTCAGCCCTGCTGCCCTCCTCTCCCCGCTGCGCTCCGCGGCCCGGGCGTTGATCCCCCCCCCTCTGCATCCTGCGAGGCAGGTGGTGCACGCGATGGACCTGCGGCAGCGGGGCAGGCCCGGCTGCCAGCGGGCGGAGGCGAGGAGGAGGGGAGGGGCGCTCGGCACTGCTCGAGCGCGTGCTTTTGTTTGTTGTTGCTTTCTTCGGCGAGGGCCATCGCGGAGCAGCTCGGCTCACACCCTGCGACAAAAAAAACGGGCGCACGACACCGCACTGGGTGCCAGGGGAAACGACGCCCGCGCGACGGCACGGGGGGCGAAGTCGCGAAGCAGTGGGCGCGCCCTCGAGGGGGCGCGGAGGTCTTCGCGCTTCGCGCTTCGCGCTTCGCGGTTCGGCTCCGATGCCTCCTCCTCCTCCTCCTCTTCTCTCCCTCCTCCCTCCTCCCTCCTCCTCCTCCTCCGTAGCCATTTTGGCTCAAGTTGCCATATCCTCAAGGCAGCTGGCCAGGTCAGAGCAGGGCTGCTCCCGACTCGGCCCGCGACACAAGGGTCGGGGGTTGACCCTTTTTCGCGCACTGAGGCATTTTGCCACCCAGTTTGTCTCTCCAGACTCTTGTCTCGTTTCCTGGCAGTGCAATGGCCGCTGCCGAGGTATCCAATGCTCAGTTGCTCCAAGTTCTAGCATGAACGCCATGAGGGACGACATCAAAGATGTCAAAAAACGTCTCGCCGTTGCTGAAGGACTGGAGGAGAAGATTTCCGATCTCGAGCTCGCCATGGAGGACAAGTTCGAAGAAGCTAAGAAAGCCCACCAAGCCCTCGCTCTCGACATGGACCCACGAGTGTCTCGACTCGAGCATGCCCATCAAGAAGCCGCCACCAACGCCGCCTTCTTTGACACCGAGGACGGCAACCCCACCGCCAAAAACGCAGGGCTCGAGATTCAACGCCAGATGAATGAGAAGATGGCTAGGCTCGAAGCGTCCCTTGCCGAACTACAGCGAGCTCCGTCCGATGCAGGCTCCGCTTCAACTCGGCCGCCATCCAAGTCTCGTCGCTTAGGAAGGGGCACCAGTGCTGGCTCCAGCGCTTCCGAGATTCCAGTGATCGATCTCGCCAACGACGAGCACAACCAGATCGACCCTACCAGACGGTGGATCAGCGGTTTTCCTCGCCCAGTCACTGAACCGTATAGGCGCACAGTCTTCAACCAGATGAAAAGCCGTCTTCCTGCCGCCATCAGCGAAGGGATGACATGTCATTTCCACAAAGTATCTCAAGCGTTCGCCGTCACCATCAACTCTGAGCAGAAGGCCCGCGACTTCCATGACTGGTTCCTCGCGAACCCCGTGACATGGCAGGACTACCGCAACACCTCCCTTCATCCACTGCGATGCCGCAGGGATATGCCGCTGCAGGCCCGCCAGAAGAACCGCGTCCTGAGCGCCCTCTGGCCGCTCGTCTGCAAGCGCCTCGAGAACACTGGGAAGTGGAGCCCGTCAATCAAGATCGGCACCAACCCGTTCAAAGGCGTGTTCAGTATCACCACCGAGAACGACCACTGGGAGATCTTCAAGCTGACCGGCGCTCCTGGAGGCATGTATGAGCTGAAGCCGATTAGCGACCAGCTCTCCGAGTGGAGCATCACCGAGACGACCGCCAACTGGATGGTCGAGCAGGCCCAGGCCTCCGTCCAGCAGTACTGAAGTGATGCCAGCCTAGTATCGTGTGCTAAGTTTCTGCCTTCTCCCGCTGCCTCGCTGCCTCTGTCGCCCGAGTCTTCTGATCTTTGTTCGCCTTCTCTGTCGAATGCTGAATTCGGAGCCCAGCCGCCTTCGCCTGAGAACCCAGCCAGTTCTCGCCTCTCTTTTCCGCCATCCCTGGCCAACGGTCGAGGTATTCGGATTGCTACTTGGAACTGTCATACCCTGTTCGGCGCGGTCTCTGGGGACCGCGACACTCAGGTCAAGACCTTCGATCGACCCACTAACCTAACTAGAGCAAACAATATCATATGCTTGCAAGAAACGCACGGCCATGAAGGGGATCGCGAGTCGTTGCGTACCGAGTTCCCTGGCTATGAATCTTTCTGTACGTTCTGTCCCGACAGTCACGCTGGCGGGAACGCGATCATGCTCGCTCGCTCTCTTCTCGCTCTGCTTCCTCAATATCAACGCAATGTGATGATTCCTGGGCGTCTCCATGCCGTCACCACCCAGTCCGACTCTTTCTCGCTTGCCATCTTGAACCTCCATCTCGACCCGAGCTGCCGCCGCGGAGAGAAAATAAGGATCCTTCGCTTACGCGCCGATTTTTTGCACACTGTCCAGGGCCTCTTTTTCTTTGTTTGTTGGAGACTTCAACTTTTGCGAGCTGGGCGAGGGTGCCCAGCGAGTGGACGGCTCTGTGCAGATCAACAGCCCCGACTCCCTCGCCCATAAGTTCTGGTCGCTATTGCCCAACGTTATGGAATGCTACCAAGAGAACCCGACCCACCACGCCACTCGGACTGGGAATGTGGTTAGTGTATCCAGGATCGACCGTATCTGTATGTTTACTGGGGATATCTTGGATTTGAAACCGACCTCTGGGACCTCCTGGAATATTTGGAAAGCCGACCTCCCGAGTGACCACGCCCCGGTGTACCTGCGTCTGAGCGGAGGCGGAGACAACCGCGCTCGGGCCGTCGCCTCGCGGGTCTCTCGTCACCCTCTGTATCCGATCCTGCTTGAAAAGCTGATCAACGAGCACGGGGTATGCGAAGATAATCCGCCGCTGATGGTTGAAGAGCTCACGTGCCTAATGCACGAAGCAGGACGTCTCGTTCAGCATCGCCTTTCTGAGCTTCCGCCCAGCTCCGCCGAGCAGCATCTGCAGTGGCTGTTCGCGGTGAATCGCGGCATGCGGGGCCACGAGATAAGCGCGCTGAAGAAGGCTGTCAAGGCCATCCCCGTGCTGCTCAACTTTCTCGACCCTGACTGTGGCACGTGGCACGACCAGTCAGCCTTTCAAGGGTATATGGCCAAGATTGCTTCCGCTCGGCACCAAAAAGAATATGAGGAAATCATTGGACAGACCACGGAATCCCCCCAGTTTTATGAGCACCGAGCTGCGCGTCTTCAGAGATTGGCATCGGCCTGGCCGCCGAAGAATCGGAGAATATTCCTCGCGGGCATCGCGGATGCCGAGGCCAACGCTTTCCCGACTGCTGAGGCTGGGGCTCATGCTCTAGCCGCTCATTGGAGTCAAGTTCACGCCTCTGCTTCATTTCAAATTGCCGCGATGGGCCAGCGGGAGGAACATATTCAAAAAGTGAGGGAGGCTCAGATTTGGAGGCTCTCTGAAGAACAGTTTTACGGAGTTTTGGACCGGCTTCGCGATTCCGCCCCTGGCCCCGACGGGCTATGTTATTCTGCCTGGTCCAAAGGGAACTTATTTGTTAGGTGGGCCGCCTACGCCATCTACCAGCATATCATGGATTTCGGCCAGGTTTCAGACGATTTCGACTTCAGCAACTCGGTCTTCCTCCCCAAAGGTCCCCTGGACCGCGACGGTTTCGAGCTCTGGAGGACCCCTGAAATGGCCCGTCCCATCTCCCTCTCCAACTCGATCAACAAAATTGTCGCTGTCGCGATCAACTGCCGCCTGAAAGAGGTTTGCGTGGACACCGCTATTGGGGTCCAAAGGGGCTTAATGCAATAAAGACGCTCTACGCCAAGGCTACCGCCACCATTCTCCTGGGCGGGGTGTCTCGCTGCTCTTTTCGGATCCTCCGCGGGATAAAGCAAGGATGTCCACTCTCGGGAGGCGTGTTCGCCCTGGGGTTCGACCCGATTTTACGCGTGCTCTGTCTTCAGCTGCCCCGACCTGTCCATTTGCACGGTGCCTTCGCCGACGATGTTGCCTCCGCCGCCTTTGACATTTACGCGGCCGTGCCCATTTTCATGAAAGTTATGATGCTTGCAGGGCTCGCCGCGGCCCTCGTCCCGAACCTAAAAAGGAAACGGTGATATTATTTTACCGCGACTTTAACAGGGAGGAGGAGGAGAGGAAGTTCCAACGGCAGGGGATCAGAGTTCGGAGCTTCGGGATGTCTAAGTGTGCCAAGTATCTTGGTGTGATGTGCGGGATCAGAGCCCAGGGGAAGTCTTGGGCCGCCCCGCTGGTCAAGTTCCGCGACCGCTGCCGCTTCATTAAGTCTTTGAAGTTAGGCCTGTCGATGTCTCTCGTGGCGTACAACCCGATCGCAGTCACTGTGCCCATGTACATTGCCCAGTTCTTTCCGCCCACGGCCGATTGCAGCTGGCAGGTGCATCTCGGGCTACAGTCGCTAACATGTGCTCCTCGGCATGCCTTGTCTGATCATATGCTGGTGGGACTGAAGTCTCTTGGGGGGGAACTATCTCGGGCCAGGTCTCACGCGCGAAGCTCGTGCCGCTGCATATCGCGCTACCCTCGCCTCTTCCGTCTTTTTCGCCTGCATCGAGAAAATCGAGGACGCGTTCGATGACCCCGAATGCCATCTGGACGCTCATCTTCATCCCGTTTATACCAAGTCTCTCGTTTAATGATGAACCGGAACTATCGTGAGTTATCCCGAATCCCGTCCGCCCCCGCCGTCTTCGAGCACGGGCTTCAGAAGAAAATGACCAAGCTTGTGCTCGCACATCAACCCCTGGTCCCTTTTTCCAGAGCTTATCCTGAGACGTCTCCAGTATTGGGCCTCGAGGTTTCCTGAAGCTGGCCAAGTCGGGGCTCCTGGAGCCCAACTGCGTTTCTCTCGGCTAAAAGTGGTCGGCCAGTACATTGCTCCCTTTGTTCAACTCAGTCTGCTGCGCAGTATATGGAACGCTTGGAATACCTCTCGGAGATGCCGCCAGGCCGCGCTAGGATGCATGTTTGGATGTCAATGTATTGCTGGTGACCAGATCGTGCATTACCTTGTCTGTCCTGCTCTTCTCGGAGTGATGCGTGCCAATCTGCCTAGGCTCTCACCATGGTGGGGGGCGGAGGTGTTTGCTGGGCTCCTTCTTTTTCTATGCCTCTCTCGTGCGATGAAATCGTCTCCATTGCCATAGCGCACGACGTTCTGTTAAACACGTTCAACGAGCTCAGGT